AGCAGCTGCATTCTGACGTGATAAGCTGTATGTTTTATATTCAATTAACGTTTGATCTGATTAGTCGACTAATGGAAAAAATAATCGGTGATTAAACAATTATAAAAATAATTGTTTGTGGCAGCTCTAGTACAGAGACATTCTTAATTAAAAATCTGCTTTTAAAAACTCCAGTTTTTAAGAAAATGGCTGCTTATCAAATAATTGTTAGTCAGTCTATAAGATAAATGAACCAGGGTGCCAAATAGGCTAGGACTGCCCCTGTGATTAATTATCACTATTTTGTAGGGTTCTGTATGTTGTATTCTTGATTAAATGCAGCAAAATAAACAATTTCAAAGGTAACATCATGTAATACTTGATTTATTTACATAATAACTTTAATTGCTGGATGTTCGGCTCCTGAGCTGTTGACCTGCAGTACCTGTGGCCCCCCGGAGCAGTTCAGTTGAATAGCCCTGCTGTAGATGTTGGAGGGTAATTGTGTCAACTCATCCAGAGTTTGGCAGCTAAAATTTTAGATTTTGTTGGTAATTACTGCAGTTTAAAAGAACTAAAGTCAGCCCCCTGGTGTTGTACTGTACTTGTTACTGATTATGTGTTTTTAGACACTAAGGTGCGAGAAAATGATAAATCACTCAAACTCTTGACTAATTTGCCCCCCTCACTTCTGAGATCATGATTACGCCCTTGCTGATGCACATAAAGTAACAACAGCAAAAAAAAAAACCTTTAATATAAAATAACTAAAACTAACAGAAGTCATGTGGTTTCTGCAGGCCTGATCCTAYCTAATGGGGACATTAACTGGAACTGCCCTTGTCTGGGTGGCATGGCCAGTGGACCGTGTGGTTCGCAGTTCAAGGAGGCCTTTTCCTGCTTCCACTACAGTAAAGAAGAGGTAAAGGGCTCCGAGTGCATCAACCAATTCCTCAGCATGCAGGAATGCATGCAGAAGCACCCCGACCTCTATCCTCAGGAGGAAGATGAAGAGACCTCTCGAGCAGAATCCAAGCCTGTTCCAGATTCCACTGACAGCGATGCCTTATCGTCTGAGAATAACTCRACTCCAACCACTTCAGGGCTGTCATCTGACAGCATGTCGCCTACAGACAACCAGACTGTCAGCTCATCATGAGGTTCTCCAAGAGCAGCTGTGATCGATGCACCTGAGCCTCTGAGAGGTTAAATATGAGTGGACAGAAGAAGACCACCTGCGTTTGTACAAACTCATAGGCTGATTTGTTTTATGGGCAATCATAACTTATCTAATTCTATGATAACTGAGCGTTAACCATGTTTTTTGCTGCAGGGACTTACATTAATTTATGTGCAAGAAAAACAAACAAACAGAAGAGCTCTTTTTTATTGTTTGAGTGTTGTCCTCTTGATTTCAGCTGGTTTAGKGTCTCTGTGTTTCAAAGTGACTCAGAGTTGAGCTGTATTTATTATATATACTGGTGCCAGTAATAWTTGAGTGTTTTAACTTGAACAAGACAGTTTTGACTCTTTTTCAGCTTTCTTTTTAACACATTAGAGACCAAAGCTCATGACGAGAAGAACCAGACTGCTGTTTGTCTCTGATGATCCTAACTGTGCTCGTTGTCTTACAAGAACTTCAGGGTCTCATGTTGCTGAGCAAACAGTAGGTAAACGACTAATCTTGCYTTTCACACCTACTGTACACATGTAGAAATATATCTGTCAGATATCGTTGGCTGGAAACTAAAGTGGTGAATTTAAAAGTGTGCTGGTGTTTGTCACGACACTGTTCCGATTAAATTGTCCATCTGTCAACTTCTCCCGATTTTCTGTTTATTCTAAAGAGATCAAACATTATTTCTACTTTCAGATAAAARTATTTTATCCTAATTAGTCCAGGAGAGGAGACGGATATGATCTGTTCCATCTTGATGAATGACTGACGTTATTTTCTGTAAATAGAAAAAAATATATATAAATACAGTATAAAAACTAGAAACCGCACAGCGGTAACATAATGACCCCTGCACGCACAAATGCACCAGAGCTCTGAAGTCTTTATTCCTAATAAACGTCGCTACTAGGTGCATCCCAAAATTGAAGTGGTTTGGGTGGGGGTCTTTTTTTGGGGGGGTGAGACAACCAAAGAAATCTGAAGCTCTTATG